AATTAAATGTCACTTAAATCATTTTAAATGCGGAAGAATTAAACATTTATATAATCTTCTTTAGAAATGAAAGAGAATTTAGTAAGTCACTAGAGAAATTCATACTTTAGCAACTTCAATTCTGACGAGAATCAATTTAAAACAGATTATCTATCGGCTTGTTGTACTTGGCAATCTAATAAGCTGTATTCTTAAAAGAAAACTACTCTTGAAAATTCCAGACAAATACTGTAATAATGTAGAGATGTAAGAGATTCTCGAGAGCTACTTATATAACTGGAGTAATCCCAAGAAAAATTATTTTCCAATAAGTTATCCCGTGCTTCCGCAAAATATCAGAAGCCTCCGAGATAATCATTTTCTAATTAGAGAGAAGAATTGACTGATAAAATGTGGAATTTTTTAATAATTTTTCAACAAATTAAGAAAATTTTTTGCTTTATTTTTATATTAAATTTATAAAAGTTATAAAAATTTTCAAAATTTTGTGCATTCTTTACTGTTTAGAAGAATAGAAAATGCGCAAGAGAGGGTTTGTTTACCTTTATTTGCATTGTATCTGTAGGATTTTAGAATAGAAAATATGGGATTTAGATTTTTCGGATAGTATTTTGGCTCTATTTACTAAATTTAAGATGAGTTGAAGTTGGTTTTTTTTATTTTTTTAAACACTTGCAGCTTAGATATAAACAGGAAATGAAGATATTAGATAAGAATATCTATCAACTATCAACTAAAAACCATCAGAGACTGTAAGAGTTTTTTTCTTTCCTTTAATCTGATCATTTTTACTTTTATAACACAATTTTAGACTTTCAGAAATGAAAAATTAGTTTATAAATTAATTTTCAGAGCTAAAAAATATAAATTTCTGTATAAAATCTTCAAGAATTTTGTATAAAAATACATCTTATGTGTCTTATTTTTATATTTGTATTGGAGTATCAGGATCAATAGCAGCAGCATCCGCTACAAATCTCTACGTCTTTCTTATCCTCTTACATTATGTATGTAGCAAAAATATATATATAATAAATTACATGTTTAATATATATTTTATACATTTATATATGCAGATATTTATATAAATATAGAATTTATTAATGAGAAAACATGTGGCATTATTTAAGATGCCAATTTCCAGTTAGAGATTGTTACATGAAAAAATCTGCCCCTATACTTTTATATTTATTCTATTATAAAGATAGGGTATGGTTTACTTTATATTTTTTAACAATTACAAGTAAATTCATGATTTTACAACTTATAAAATAAATTTTTCCAAGTATTTCCTTACTGTTACCCTGTTGTTAAAGATATTTTCCTACTGCTTAGGTATTTTCTCAAGCCCCTACTGCTAAATTCAACTTCCTACACAAAAGATGGACCACCAGTGGGTGAACGGATAAAACCATCAAACACCGGTAGTCAGTTGGTTTGCAGCATGCCACAAGGCTGGCGCACGGTGTTTTTGAGCTTTCTTCTCCTATATAACACCTAAATAGGGACCAGTTTCTTATAAGTCTTCTCGGGCAGCACTCTTCTTGGCAGATCAACCAAGCGTTGCACTGTGACATCAAATCCAAACTAAAAAATGCATTTTCCTGCAGCTGCAAGTAGTTTCTAAAATGTTTTCCTCTTATAAAATCCAAGTTAAGTGTATAACTTTAATAAAATAACAAGCAAACACTTGAATTTTCTGAGATTTACCTAAACATTTATTGCTTTTATATAAAAATATTACATAATTCTTCAATTAAAAATCCTATTGATAGATTTTTCTTTATATTTTAAGCTAAAGAAAATAAATATTTAATATTCCTTTCTATCAAAATATTCCATTTAATCAGAATAATATTATTATAACATTATATAACAGGTTTTAATTTAGATTGTAAGATGTTTTCTACTTTTATTTACCATATAAATTATAAATATCTTGTTGAAACATGTCAAAAGTATCATTTTAAAATAATATTATCAGTATACAAACACATAAATATGGATTAAAAACTCTCCTCCCTCCTTTCTTCTCTCTTATTATTTTTAGATCACAATTTTGTATTTTTAGAGGTTTTTAATACAATATTTTGGGATTTAACATCAGAAAATCCATATTTTTGCAGCTTTTTAAGCTCTAATTTTATATATTTAGAAGATTTTATTATCTTTAATTCATTGTTTTAGAATTACAAAATCCTTTTTGATCCTCATCATCATTAACCATAAACTGTATTCACCATCATGACTTTTTGAAGGATTATTATTGCGTTTTAAGGCAACTTAACATTGAGATCTAACATGGAATCGATGAAGATGAAGATGAAATAGGAAGATAAATTATTAAACAGTGTTTTAATGTTTGATTGATGACAATAAGGATAAAACGTGGAAGTTAGATATGGAAATAATGTTTAATATTTGACTGATGATGATGAAGTTAGATGTGGAAACAACGTTTTAACGTTGAATTAATGATGATGAGAAGGACCAGACATGGAGGTTAAATACAAAACGAAGATTTAATATCCAGTTAATGATGATGAGGAGGATCAAACGTAGAGGTTAGACATTAAAACGATGTTTTAACATCCAGTTGATGATGAGGATGAGGACTAAACCCGGAAATTAGGCATGGAAACGACGCTTTAATATTCTGTTGATGATGAGGAGGAGGATCGGGCACGGAAGTTAGGCGTGGAAATAATGTTGTAACATCCAGTTAATGACGATAAGGAGGACTAAACCCGAAAATTAGGCATAGAAACGATGTTTTAGCACTGGATTGATAACGACGAGGAGGAGGAGGATGAAATACGGATGCCAAACAGTATATTAACATTTATTTCTACTTCCAACCTTGCAATTTTTAAAATTACTATCATCATTAACCCGCATTCGATTACATCACATCATCCACATTTTAAGACAATGTTGAAAACAACATTCATGGAATTCGTCATTTTTGTAGAAATTAATATCGTAACAGCACGAATAAATGGCAAAACATATTTTGTGGAGGAACGTTTGGGATTTAGTTTTATTCATTATTTATGTAATTTACGTTAAGGATGATAAATAAGGACGATAAATATTTAATTACAGAGCTATTCACTTTATCATATTGCTATTATTGATCAGGTTTATCTTGTAAACAATTCGCAGAAAAAATTAGAGGAAAAAATCCAATAAAACTTAATTAATTTCTAAAACGTTCGGGGTTTTTTGGAGTATTTTGTATTTTCAACACTAAAACTTCATTTAAAATACAAAATAAAAATACAAAAATGAGGAAGAAAATCCAAAAAGAAAAACCGAAATTCTAAAAATTAGTGTTATTTTTTGGAATTTTATTTTTGAATTAATGCTCCAAAACTCCATTTTCTTGCAGTAATTAATTATAATATTCGAGACTTTTTCCAGAATCTCCCGGGAGAGTATGCAAATAGATAAGAATTAAAACGAATTTCACTGCTAAAATGCATTTTTTCTCCCTCGTTTTACTTCTTTATACGTGAATATTATTAATGCATTTCGTTACAGCGCGGTCCAAAAATCAGTTAATCGTTACGGTTGACTTTACATATAACTCGGTTAACGGAATTTTGGACCACCCCGCATTTTTTTCGCTAAAACTGTTAATTTTTTTTTTTGAAGAAAACATTCTTCGTAATAATTTCTTCCAAAAAGTCTCGAATTTTTATTAAAAACTCTACTTTTTTTAAAGGAAAAAAATAAAAAAGTTTCCGTTAAATAAATTCTCATTTATCGCGCGCTGGAGATGTCACAAGTGTCTTTCTTACTGTTAAAGTACGGAAAGCAGCGACGTGCAGTTTGTAATTTCCTGACGTCACAGGACGTCAGAGTTACAAAAGGTGAAGCGAGAAAAGGAGGGGGTGTGTGACCTTCGTACGGTTGGTTGTGTATGCACAGGTGTAGATGTACCTGCCAGGTATGTTGATTAGGTGGTAGCGCAAGTATGTTGTCCCACATTACAACCCACCCGGGCTTTCTTGTGTATTTCGTCAAAGAGCGCGCGCCGCTTATTCGCGCGTGCATGTGTTCGGCAGATGTGTAAAAATGGCCACCGATTCGCACAACAAATTTCAATGCCCCACTTGGAGGAACGTAGTGGACAGCGTACAGTCGACCTGCGCCTCTGTTTTAATATGCGTCGACCCCCGATACGCTTCTTGTATGGAGATCACGCGTAAACACTGGGACGATCTGTGCGTAAGTATGTCTATCCGTTCGCCTTCTAAACTTAAGAAACTGATAGGAAATCGTGTCAAGTAACCTCTGTACATACGCTATTCATCCGTATTGGGACTATCGGTGCGTATGTCTGTCCGGATTTGGTTTAAGAAACTAGTAAACGATCACCAGAACGAGGCGAACACGCGCCAAATACGCTTCCTATATTAATTTACTCAAATATCCTCACTTAAGTATGTCTGTCCACCGTATTTTCGGCTTTAGAAACTAGTAAACGACCTCCCAAACTTAATTACTCGCGAGTTGAAGAGATGTAAAGTGGGCTTTAAACGCGAATTAATACCAGTTTACTGGTACCAGAAGCGATAAGCGGGTTGGAGACGGGTGTAGAAGGGTATCGAGCTTATAAATCACTTAAAAAATCACCGCAAATTACGTTACGTCATCGAAAAAACCCTTCTCAACGTCCGTAAATCCTATAGCAATTAAGCAATAGTGACACCAGACATATTACGCTGTCAAGTATTCAACCCCCGTGCAATAAATTGAAAACCAGATAGTTCCAAGGTTATAGGGTCTCTACTATAGCCTTAAACGTGGGTTGTGTGTTACGTACGGGCGTAACATTCCCTACACAGAATAACCTTCGAGTGATGTAGACTGTATGGCGTATTTTCCCGGCCGTTTAGACACTAGGAAAGGGGTGTAGAAACGTCACGGTTACGTGTAAACTCCCCCCCTCTCACTTGGTGTGTTTGCTTAAAGTCTCGTTTACTCTTTTACAGGTGACCGTGCCCGCGAGATCTCACTCTGTGCAAGAATTAACAGGTAAGATGATTTTTATGAATGGCGACGGATGTACAAACAGACGTCCGTGAGAAAGTTCTTTTACCTTTTATTGCGTGGGTGTTGGATATTTGTCTCCTCTTTACTCTTATAGGAAGTAAACACGGGGCCTTTTATGTGGGTCGTCTTGCTTTTTTTAATGATATTTAAACACTGATTTTCTTAATTTTTTTGAAAATCAGATTTTAAAAATGTTAATTTTATTTTAAAAAAAGGCTTTTAGAATGGATCTTAATTGCTCTCTGCTTCGAAAATCATAGTTTTTTTACTCGAAAAAAAGCACAATTTAGTGTTTTTAGTTGTTTTTTTCTAAACTAAAAAAGGGTTTTTATTGTGTTTTAGTGGGTTTTTAACTAAAAAAAAGCATATTTAGTCGGTTTTAGCGGTTTTCTTTACTTATAAAAGAAATTTTTGTGTATTTTAATGGATTTTTTTTACTTAAAACCACTGTTTTAGTGTGGTTTTTTACTGAAAAAAAGGTATTTTTTAATGTTTATTTCGACTTTTTGGATGTTTTTCGTTTTAAAATTATCATTTAAATAACTTTTTAGAATAAAATTATAGAAAAAAATCTGAAAAATTATGTAAAAATCGCTGTTAAATCTAAAAATTATGCAAAAAAAACTCAAAAATTGATAAATAATTAAAAATAATTTGAGTTTTTTTAGTAAAAGACAGCGATTTCTGAGAGTCGACTTCCTCCAAGTAACGTTACCTTTTACTCAAAACACAGCTTTTTATCAATTTTTTTTTAGAATTTTTGAGTTTTTTTTAAATATAATTTGCTCTAAAAACGTTAATAGATCATTTTAATTAAATTTTTTAGTAAAATTTTGTAAAACTTCTCTAAAATGATGCTTAGAATCTTCGTTTTCCGCTTCAAAAAAAGTTACTTTTTTGTCATTTTATTTCGAATTTTTTGAGCATTTGTTCTAAATTTCTACTTAAAACTTATTTTTAAAATATTAAACTTAATTTTAAGTATATTATTTAAAAACAAATTCATAAATTTATCCATAAATTCAACAATTTTATCAAATAAATTTTATTTTAAATCTTTTAAAAATTATTATTTAAAAAAAATCAAATTAAATATAAAATTTATCATATTCTAACTCCATTTTATTAAATAAATTTAATAAATTTATTTAAAAATCTGTATAAAAACTACTTAAAAAAAAAAACCCTTAAAAATTGATACGTCTTCTCCAATGATAGAAACATTTATTTTTTGTATAAAATTATAAAA